ATTCAATTTGTTTTTCGCTGTTACTCATAAACTTATTCATTAATAAATTCTGCAAATTATTAAATGCTGCCATTATTGTATTGTCTGCTTTATTTTTTTCATTCAGAGCAGTTTTTGCGTTAAACGTTGTGGTTTTCCATCTAAAACAAATTAATGGTTACATGTTATAAATGCATATATTTTCATATTAGCATACATAGGTATTTTATCAAATATACTACTAAATGACACAATTGTTGAGCAGTTAAATATTTTACATACTGGGGGAATATTAGTATCAACAACGAAACATCATTATATATGTTCACGAAATTGTTTGGTTATAAGCGTTAACATAGTACTATGTACTTAATTTTTCCTTATATTCATTTAAATGATACCCCACAGYAAATACTAATATATTTTGTTTATACAAAGTAATAAAAGTTACCTCTCTTTTGTCTCTACTTTTTCCATGTCCGAAGTTTTGTATTTTTGAACAACCAAATAATCACTTCTTGTTTTTTTGAGGGGTATTTTGATGCAAAAATTTCCACTATCTGATTTTTTTATGCGTATACAGGTATCATTGGGCACGGTTGATATACCATTATACTCTTGTTCCAGTTTTRATAAATGTGTCTGAAACTAAACTAAAAAAAATATTATTTGATAAATATTTTATTAAAAAGTTCAATGTTTTACTTTCTGTTTTTTTGGTTTAGCTATAGGTATATCTGTTATAAATTGGTTGCTTTCCATGTTACTTTAATAGTTCAATAGTGTGTTCATATTGGATCAGTTATGCAGGTTATACTCAGCAAGTTGGTAAGCAAGATMRATGTATATAGTGAGCAGTATATTCGTGTTATGAATATTTCATTGGGTGTTAATTAATTTATTAAATTTTAATTTTAAAAATTATAATCATTGTATTCATTTTTAAACAGAGGTGATACCTGATGTCAACCCTTGTAATGTAATAAGCCATATACCACCGACCACAATACGGCACATCGCAAAATATCCATTTGCTCATAGTGARCGCGAAGTTTATGAATATTTTCGTCAGTGGCATTCAGCTTTTGTCGTGAGGGAAGTTCGATATTCATTTGATTATAATATCGGTGATATATTTTGTTCGTTTGAATGTGCTAATCATTTCAATCGAATATATTTTAGTTCAGATCTTATAAATTTACATTTCGATGCAATCCTTATTATGTTCAAGGATATAAATGTGTTACAACATATTGCCAAAGACGTAGGTGCATAGTATGTCAAAAATACACCACTGTTTGTGACAACCGTAATTTATATGCTGAACCCGATGAGGATTATGTAATACAAGTGTTCTCAATAACCAATTTCACCGACGATCTACTTCAATCAACAGTACATACATAAGTAATTTAATATATTTTATTTTAGTATAGWTTTATATTAATTGTTAAGAATGTTAAAATATAATCGTATTAAAAAAATTAACCGATTAAACACAGCTGGAGTGAATTTAGTAGAAGTTGAGAAATTTAAAAATAATCGATCAAAAACTTTTTATTTTAAAAATAACGAAAACCTTATTGACTTATTAAATTCTACTTCTTCTTCATTAAAATCTAAACTAAAAGATCTATGTTCCTCATCTACCTATACATTTAATTTATTTGTGGACTTAGTATATGAAAATTTGATTTCGGGGGGAAGTACGGGGTTTTGCTTTTAAAACAAAAAAATGTTTTATGTTGTGTTTTACTTCAAATTTTTCCACCCTTTTTAAAAACATGTTTGATAAATTATTAAACGAACAGGAATCATTTTTGCTGAAGGGTTCTTCTTGGAGACAAATTAGCTTAGATRGTCTCCAATTAAGAATAAATAAAGTGAATTTATTGGGTGGTTCATCATTTATAAAATTTCCAAAATCAATTTATGACAAAAAGGCAATAATAAATGTTGTGATTTATGATAATAAATGTTTTAAATATGCGTTTTTATCAAAATTTAATGAAAAAAAAAAAAATAATAATTTTAGTATTAAATATTTTAACTTTTTAGAAAAAAAAAGTAGACTTAATTTTAATTGTATAGATTACCCTACACCAATCAATCAACTAAAAAAATTTGAATTGAAATGAAAATTAATAACATATCTGTTAATGTTTATAGCTGTAATGATAAATGCCAAATTTACCCACTTCATATAAATAATAACGAAAAGTCAGATCATTACGATTACACATTATCATAAACCTACGAGTTATGGGTCGTATAACATTAAAATCGATTACAGTATCGTCCCGGAAGAATTAGTAAAAAAATTTAAAATTCCTAGAAATCCGATAATTTATAAAGGTAAAAATCCATCAAAGCATTTTATGTCAACAATAATTGATATTACTACTAAAATTTATTATCTTTATAATACTAATAAATCAATGAATAACTTATCAAAAAAGGAAAAAAATCAATATATTAATTCATCACTTTCAGCACTTTGTTCGAAATTGAAATGAAACCGTATTAAAAGTACGTTAGACCATATTTCTAAAAAAGATTATATGCATGCATGCAATGTTTGGGAGAAGTTTAATATAAAAACACTAGGGGAGTATAGTGATTTATATTTATTAACTGACATATTGATTCTGGCTGATGTATTTGAATATTGTAGAGATATTTTTTGAAAACTTTTAATTTAGACGCCTCTTATTATTTGACAGCACCTGGTTTTGCATTTGACGCAATGTTATATTATACTGGTGTAAAACTTGAAAGATTAAAAGATTTTTCAATGCTTCTAAAGATAGAGAATGGAATTAGAGGGGGGTATGTCAATCTGTAAGACGTTATGCCAGAGCTAATCTACCCGATGTTGATGGAATTAATTACAACGAAAAAAAACCACATGTTTATTTAGCGTATTTCGATTGTGTTAATCTTTATGGCAAATCAATGCTTGCAAGTTGACCATACAAAAATTTTGAGTGGTATAATGATTTGACATTAGACATTACTACAATAGACGATGATGCATCTATTGGATATATACTGGATGTGGATGTTGTTTACCCCGAACAATTGCATACCAAGCATAGGGATTTACCTTTTTTACCCCGCAATAGTAGTTGCCCACCAAATTCTAAGATTAATAAACTGCTGACAACTTTAAATAATAAGACAAATTATGTCGTTCACTATAAATTATTAAAGCAGGCGATTTATAATGGTTTAAAAGTCGTAAAAGTTCATAAAATAATTAAGTTCAATCAATCAAAATGGTTAGCCCCATATATTAATAAATGTACCAGTATGAGGGTCTTGGCAAAAAACAAGTTAGTTTGAATATTAATTTTGGAAATTACTCGTGAATAGTGTTTATTGAAAATGTATGGAAAATCCGCGTAAAAGATTGGATATAAAGTTAGTAAGCGATGATCGAAAAGCTCATAGATTAATGAGAAAACCTAATTTCTTAGATAGGACTATATATTCCAATGAGCTAATGTCTTTACATTTTCAAAAAGAAAAGATTAAATTTGATAAAGCAATATACGTTGGATTTTCTATTTTAGATCATTTATAGGAATGTATTCTTAATATTCTTATTACAGAAAACACGTAAAAGACTTCGCAAAAAYAGTCCACCCCCTCACTGAACTTATAAAAGGAGATAAAAAAAAAATTGATTGGAAAATTGAACATGAAGAATCTTTTCAAAAATTAAAAATTATTTWATCTCTGAACCACTTTTGAAACACTTTAATGACGATAAATCTTTTTTTCTAACAACAGATGCTTCAATAATGGGATTGGGAGCCTATATTGAGCAACCAGATGATAATAATTTATAATCTACTGCATCCGACAGGCTATGAGTCGCGTAAATTATTGGACAATGAAAAAAAAATAACCTTAGAACTTTTAGGTTTATGTTTTGGAATAACTTACTTTCGCGAATATTTATGGGAAAGACATTTTATCGTTTTTTGCAACAATATAAATCTTCAATACTACAAAAATTTAAAAATTCCTTCTGCTCGAATAGCTAGATTAATACTTAAATTATTAGATACCAATTTTGATATAGTTTACAAACAAGTTAAAGAAAATGTAATAACAGATGCCTTATCTAGGAATGTAATTAATAAAATTAATGTAATAGTTGAAGATGAACATACACAAATAAATTTAGATTTAGACAATATAAAAAATGAACAAACTAAAGACAAATTTTGCTCTGATATAATTCAAGCTATAATAGAACCAAACAATAAAAATATTCCTAAAAATATAAAAAG